TGAGTAATATTCCATTGTATATATGTACCACATCTTTTTTATCCAGTCATCTACTTTTGGGCATTTGGGCTGCTTCCATGTTTTTCCAACTGTAAATAAAGCATATTGCTGTTCTATTTATAATAGGAAAGACATGGAACCAACCTGAATGCCCAAAAGTAGATGACTAGATTAAAAAGATGTGGTACATATACACAAAGTAATATTACTTGGTGATAACAAAAAAAAAAAAAGATAAACACATGCCTTTTGCAGCAACATGGATGGAGCTGGAAGGGATCATGCTTAGTGAAATAAGCCAGAAAGAAAAATACCAGATGATATTCTGCTATGAATTATCATAGCAGAAGCATAAAGGATGGGGGAGGGGAGAGAAATAATAATTATAATGAACAACTATATACCAGAGACATTTTATGGGGGTAGAAGGCGGAATGGGATCAAAAATGGAGGGGGTGGGGAGTTTGGGAGTGCAATGGACTATAGTGATGGCACATGGGTGAACTGGCACATGGGTGAACTGGTAACGGGAATTCCACAGGAATTACAAAAGTGATATGGAAAAAGGCACAAAATGATGTAAAAATGAATTATTATAATAAAAAATAAAATTAAAATATGATTCTCTGAAAACTGACTCAGAATGGATAAAAATAAAAATACTAATTTATTGGCCCTCCCTGGTGGCACAGCAGGTTAAAGCACAGTACTAAGAAGCTAAAACCACTTAAGTATGAGTTCGACCCCCAACCCGGAGGTGACCACATGGCGTGGCAGACCTCTCCTGACCTGCCCGCTGCTCCCCTAAGCAGTGTACTTCCTCACTCTGCCTGTTCTGCTCCCCACCCTGTCTCTGGTGAATCTTCTCACCATCCCTGAATCTCTGGCCATACACCAGTTCTGTATGCATAATAAATCTTTAAATAAAAAATATAATTTATTAAGAAAAAGTTTGGGGCCCTCCTTGGTGGCGCAGCTGGTTAAAGCACAGCACTAAGAATCTTAAGCCACTTCGCATGAGTTCGATTCCCACATGCCCCGGAGGAGATCCACATGGCGCACATGGTGTGGCAGACCTCTCCTAACCCGCCCGCTACTCCCCTCAGCAGTACACTTCCTCAATCTTCCTGTTCTGCTCCCAGCTCTGTCTCTAATGAATCCTTTCACCCTCTGCATCTCTGGCCTATAAACCCCAGTTCTGTATAAATAAATAAATCTTAAAAAGAAAAAAAGAAAAAGTTTGGAACACATTTTTAACTGACAGGTATCTGATTGACCCTTTTTTGAATGTTATAAATTGTACTTTTAAAAATTATATAGTTGAAATAAACTAAACAAAAATAAACTTTGATTTAGAAAATAAAAAATGTGTAGGAGAATACATACATATTTTAAACTAAAATGGCTAGTTATAGAAGGTTTAAAACACGTTTGTAATGAGACTTAAATTACACACATAGCTTGGTAACTCAAAATAGCACTCTTCAGACAAAGAGAACGCTTGCAGAATTTACACCAGTGTGGATTTCTAAACCCAACTCTAGTTAAGTACAAGAATATGTTTACCCACACAAACAAGAAATTTTCAGGCAACAGCAGAGTACCTGAGAATTCAACTAAATTATGACACTTATCTATTCAGATTCCACAAGTTAAAGGCTCAGTGTCCCCAAGACTACTCTGCACTTCACACAATGGCCTAAAACGTTGGCTGTCACCTGCACTTCTGACCAACTAGCTACAAATAGGTTTCAAGGATCCCATCCTCATACTTCAAGTTTGCATGGCAAAAACAAGATTATCATCTGTGCTTCTAAAAGACTGGCTACTCAGAGGTTTCCAGAAAACTCTTCTCAGGTTCGATTACTTTGCTACAAAGGCATACAGAACTCAAGAAAACTGTATATACTTGCTACATCACCAAGATGTAGCCAGAAGTAAGTGATGCACAAGGCAAGGTATGCGGGGGAAGAACATAGCTTTTCAAGCATCTCTTTCTCCCCAGGTCTCCAGACATTCAACCTGGAAGACCCCCTAATCCCCTACCTTTTGGGCTTTCAAGAAGGCTTCATTACTGCTACTTCCCTCAGCAGTGTACTTCGTTGATCTTCCTATTCTGCTCCCCGGTCTGTCTCTGGTAAAGCCTCTAACTGTCCCTGTACCTCTGGCCTCTACCCCAATTCTATAAGTCTAAATAAATGAATAAATCTTAAAACAAAACAACAACAAAAAAAAATCACCTCACTAATGGTTTAATTAACATTTAATTAACTGTTCTAGGTCTTGTAAGGAAAAAAAGACAACATAACAATAGATTAGTCGATCCTGCCAAAGCAGTTAAGCATTTCCAACTAGTTATAATTAACATTGTGGCATGCATTATCACCATCTGTGTAAGTTTGTCAAAACTAAAAACTTTTTCTGTGAAAATTTTAAACAAACAAGTCAGTGACTAGGTGGTTTGCTTTTTGTTTGGTTTCCAACTACTGAATTCCATTTGTATCTCTAATGAAGCCAAACAGTTTTTATTTTACACTTTTTCTTAACCTGAAGAAAATATGCGATTTTAAAGAGGTGATTTTTAGGTTAATTTGTACAAAGATTTCAAATTTTTGCCTAATACATCTTACTTCACTGAATTCTGATTTCTGAAAAGTAAAACATCTATAATTATCAGACTAGCTCATCAAACCTGAGACCAATAATCTGAATTCTTTTCCATTTACAACATAATAAAAACTGCCAGAAGTTAGTAAGACTTAACCCATTATTATACTTACCTAAATGTTATTTTTTGAAAATGTGGTTTTGGTTTTTTTTCTCCTCACTTCAATGAATTCAATTCTTGAAAAAAATGGGTTTCCAGCCCTACACTGTCAATTCCAATTAATTTCATAAAACACAATTAACTAAAAAACAAAAACTAACCTTCTGCTCTGCTTGCAATTGGTCACATTTTTCTTTCTCCTGGTTAAGTTCTCTTTCCAGTCTTCCAATTTGTTCTCGAAGTTGTGTTGTTTCTTTCTCCAAAACAGCAATTAACTGCAACAGTTCCTCTTTTTCTTTCATGGTTTTCTCAATTTTCAACTGTAAAACAAAATTATGTAATTTTGTAAAGTTCTTAAATGTGTTAAAATTCAATTTTCCATTTCTACAAATATGAAGAAATTCACCTAAAAAGCTTTACTTATTATCTTCTTCATATCAGTTAGCCTCTTCCAAACCTTCAGATAAGAGAAATTCATTTTGGCTTGGACAAAGGAGGAAACAGTAAAAATATTAAAAAGTGAACCTTTAAATTAAAAAGTCCATTTTTAACTCAGTATCTTTCAAATCAAGTCCCTTAAGTAACATAATTCTGGGCTTTTCTTGACTAGTAAGAAAGCACCTGTTGTGCAAGCATGCACAGAGCAGGCTCACCATGGATTCAGGCAAGCAGATAAGAATTCAGGAGCCCTTGGTGGATTTTTCTGGCTTTCCTGCTCTCTCAGGGTACCAGGAACACCAGGCAGGGAGGCTGGCATGCAAGGAGATAGACAACCAAGACTCCCAGCCCCCAACGAATCTTGACTCTTTCTCTAGGCTCTCTCTGGTGTCTTAATTCTCTGGTCCTCATTGTCTCATAGCCAACCAACTTCTATTTGAATGACGTCACCCTTATACCCCTGACCTCTCAGCACAGGTGCACACACTTGCACATCCACACACAAACTCATACTCCAGGTGTCCACAATAACAGGTGCCCTCACCCATGCTCCCCAATGCCTGCATTAAAACCATCAACGCTGCAGGAGATGGCCAGTGACTACATGCACAAAAGCTGGACCAATTCACCTACCCTACAACACCTCCTCTTGAATGCAAATTTATAGAAAATTTCTGAATCTAATGCTAACTTCCTTGTGTGCTAATAAGGCCCTCACCTATGGGATTATCACTAAATGATTTGGTTCTTTAAATAATGTACTAAGGAATAGTTTCTAAACACACACAAACATATATGATGTCCATTTTTTCTAAATAAAACTTCAGATACAAATTTTATGACAAAGATAGAATGTACAACATTAACAAAATATGGAATCTTGTGGGAACACTTAACAGTTCTCCAACAAAATCTAAACCCAATATTCTAAAAAAATACTTAACTATATGAGGGCAAAATAGTAGTAACATAGTTTATAACAAGGTTAACATTTCCCTTAACAGAAGTCTCAGATTTTATCCAGGGGGAAGGGGAGGCTCAGAGGAGACTTCACAAAAGAGGCAGCATATATTTAACTAGAACAAAATGTTTCTTCCCAGTACACCTCAGAAACTGTTTACCAGTGGTGATGGAACCAAACTGATTAAACTCTAAAATGGTTCTTGTGAGCTCTAAAAAGGCTGAAAATTCTTAGAATGATTATTTTATATCTTCACAATCAAACCAAATGAAAATGCCCACCAGAGAGAAAAGTTCATTTATCCATGAGCTGCTCTAATAACTTTTACTTCTATTTTTAAATATGGTTTAAAGTCTCTTGCAGCTTAAAAAGGAAGCTAATCTTGACACAGCACAATAGATATATTATAAAAGAACAACTTTTTTCCAAATTCATTTAATTAGCATGTACTTTCTAAAACTTAAGTAGGAGTCAAAGACAGGAATTCAAATCAGATTAAAACATACACAAGTGTAATTCCTGACAACTTTGTATTTTAAAATCTTTCAAGCATGCAAAATAGTTAAAATGAACACCCATACATATCACCTAACTTCATTAATGTTTTGAAATGTTTATCTGCCTTTTTATATGTAAGTTTAATTTTTTTGCTAAGCCTTTTTGAAAGTGAAAAAATTTTCACTTCAAAGCAACTTCTAATAGCACCAGCCTCATCAGCCACTACTTCATAGCTAAAAAATACTTAAAACAATTCATAATATTACCCAACAGGTAGTCATTAACTCCCACCACGAAAAATATATTTTTTGACCTAGTATTCAATCAAGGATCATATATTGAAAGATTATGACTCTTTTTTAATGTGAATATATCCCAAAAGTCACATCTGTATTAGTTTTGTGTAATTTTAGATGAAATAATTATTTTTAATGAGTGTGAAAATTTAGTTTATCAAAATGATGGTCAGACTATAAAAATATTGTCTCCAAAATACACATAAAAGAGGTGATAATTTAAATTCTCTTCATTATGTTTTTATGAGTTAAGTGGTGAAATAAGTTATGATGCAATTTCTCAATCTACTTAGAAGAAGCACAAGAAAAAAGTAAATCCCAAAATGCCTGATTTTTTCTGTTGGAGGTCCTGAAATCAGGGTGGTCCAACAAGTATTGAAAAAAACCACACTATAAATGCCAATTGAATTCTTAAGAGCTGGGCTTATTTCATCATCTTTGACTAGCATTCAAAACCAAGCTAAAAATGACCTTGATCAGCAGGCAGCTGTCACCACAGAACGTTTCAGTCACCCTGTAAAAGTTACATTTCTTTATTTAAGATAAGAGAGGAATTTTTTTGAAAGGGGGCTAAGGAAACTATGGAACAATTCACAGTAAAAACATCAGTTACTTTCAATCTTAGTTTGGCTATACAACTAAAGTATATCTATAGCTTTTCCCTGTTAAGTCCACTTCTGAAAGTAAGTAAAACCAAAAGCATAAAAAATATTCACATATTTAAAAAACCCATCTGACTATAAAGAAACAGCAGTGGCCTGCTACAGACTAATTATGAATGTAAATTAACCAAAAAATTATCTGTTTTGTACAAAAACAAATCTAATAACCTACTCTTTTAGGTGTAGGGTAAAAAAATGTTCTTTCTGGGCTCTCCCTGGTGGCACAACAGGTTAAAGCACAGCACTATGAAGCTCTCAGAAGTCACTGCAGCACAAAGTTCAACCCCCCTGCCAGGGAGCTCACCCACATGGTGGGGCAGACCTCTCCTGACCCACCTGCTGCTCCCCTCAGCAGTATATTTCAGTGGATCTGCCTGTTCTGCTCCCCACTCTGTCTCTGGTGAATCCTTTCACCCCTCATACTTCTAGCCTGTACCCCAGTTCTGTAAACATAAATAAATCT